GCGCGGATTTCTCGGATCGGCGCTGGGGCCCCCGGACGGCGCCTCCGGCGCCGCCCCTGGCGCGCTCCGCGCGCCAGGGAGGGGGGTCCAGCGCCGATCCGAGAAATCCGCGCGGACCTCCGAGCTTTTCTGTTTATGCCACTCTTCGTTCCCACAAAACCCGGGTCAGTCAGGTAAATCAGGGCCAGGATCGGGATAAATCGCTCCAGAGCGTTCCGGAGCTCTCTCAGAGCGTTCCGGAACGCTCTGGAGCGGCCGCGGCGCCCAATACATCCTCCAAACCCGCCGATTCTCAGAGATTTCGAGTTATCCCGATCCGATTTTGTCCCGATCTTCGCGTCGTTTTATCAGGCCTCGCAGAGTTCTGCAAAATCCTCCAGGGTTCTGCAGGATCCTGCGCGCCGGCCCGGGTCGGGGCACCCCTGGCTCTGCAGGAGGCTGCATATGATCCCGCGCTCTGGCTGGCCCCGATCTGCACGGACCCCCGCCTCGCGGCTCCCTAAGGGTTTGGGGTTGTGAGGGCCTCCTAGACGGGGCCCGAGCAGATGGGCTCGGAGAATCGCACCGCACCGCCGATGCATTGGCGATGCGTCGGCGATGTGCCGGCGACGTCGGCGATGCATCGGCGACGTCGGTGCCGGCAAAATCGGGCCTCACATCGAGCCGCATCGCCGATGCATTGGCGATGCGGCGCGATCCTCCGATCCTATTTACTCCTACCCCATCTGGGAAACCTAAGCGTTGGTGGCACGCGGGACCGATTTTTCGCCCTGGTCCGTTTTTTGATGGTCCCGAGGCCCGGCGAGGGCCCCCGGTGGCCGAGAGTAGCGAAGAACATCCCGTCGCAATTTTGTCACGAATCGAGGGGGCCTTGGGGGGAAGCACAAAAGACACCCTTGCGGCAGGAGACCCCGCTTGACGGCGCGCGCAAGGAGGCAGGGGGAGGGGGGAAGGCTTCGTGGAAGGAGGCTGCTTCTCAAAGGCGCCAGCCTTCCATCTGTAGAGAAGGCCCGCGCCTTATGCGAAGCAGGGGTGCTTCTGAGAAGCCATCCCCCAGTTTCCTCGTCATAGGGCCGTCTCTCCAACGCCGCGAATCAACGTTACTGTTGCGTCACGACTATCCTGAGTCGTGCCAGCACAACACCATTACTTGGACGTTCAACACCGCGAATCAACCTGACGGTTGCGCCCTGACAGTCCTAAACCGTGCCCGAACACTCCTGCGATGCCAGGCATAACACTTCAAACTGCTGTAAACCTGTAGCTCTGAACGCGAGAACCACAAGTTGAAAAGCGATCGTCCTCCACCCAGGCAGCTCCTGCCAATGTTTAAGACGAACACGCGCGGCGCCCAGGCGAGAACCACATGTTGAAAACCACTCTCCCTCGATCCGTGAAGCTCCTGCAAGCGGTTAAGACGAATGCCCGCAGCGCTTGTTGAGAGCCACAATTTGAAAACGACCCGCCCTCCACCCGTGAAACTGTGGCAAATGTAAGCTTCGGGGCCATCGATGCTGAGGACGTCTCAAGCGAAACGCCCAGCCCGCGCTGCCGACGCGTCTCCGGAAGAGACAGGGAGGACCTACTCATAAAGCAAGGAGATGGAGGTTGAGGCGGAGGAGGACGAGGAGGACGAGGAGGAGGAGAACGAGGAGGAGAACGGAGAGAAGGAGGAGGAGGAGAATGAGGAGGAGGAGGAGGAGGACAAGGAGGAGGACGAGGAGGAGGAGGAGAGGGATGAGGAAAAGGAGGAGGAGGAAGGGGATGATGACGATGATGAAGATGATGATGATGCTGCTGCTGATGATGATGTTGATGCTGATGATGATGATGAGGGTGATGATGATGATGATGATGATGATGATGATGATGATGCTGATGATATGATGATGATGGTGAATATGGATGATATGATGCATGATGATGATGAGGATGATGATGATGATAATGATGATGATAATGAGAGATGATGATGATGAATGATGATGATGATGATTATGGTGCTGCTGCTGATGATGATGATGACGATGATAATGATGATGATGATGAGGAGGAGGAGGAGGAAGAGAAGGAGGAGGAGAAGAGGGGGGAGGAGGACGAGGAGGAGGAGGAGGAGGAGGAGGAGGAGGAGGACAAGAACGAGGAGGAGGAGGAGGAGGACGACGAGGACGAGGAGGAGGAGGAGCCCGCCTTGAACTGCCCCCGGAGGGCATCGAACTGCTTCGCCAGGCCGCGCAGTTCCGTGGCCCGCGCGCGGTCGTCCTTCTTGATGGCCTCCTCGGGGGTGGGGTGGTGGCAGGGAAAGGGAGGGGATGCTGGGGCATGGATGCCAAGGGTGCGCCCCCTGGCGCGAGGTCGCCTCGAAAGTGCCCGCGGACGAGAGCTGACGCCAACGCCGCACACATCTAAGAGGGCCTCAGGCACATAACTCAGTCCCTCGCGAGGAGCAACGCCGCCGCGTCCTCCTCTCCCTCCAGAGGGCCAGCAGGCAGCTCCTCGAATTCCGAGCTGTCGTCCGCGGCTCCAGGCCTTGGTCCCGCCTCGGCGACTCGCACCTCGGAGCCGTGCGCCTTGCCAGAGGGAATCCCGCCGACCCCATCGGTACGAAGCTCTCGGCGGCTCGCAGCTTGCTGGATGGCTTCAGCCTCCTGCTCCTGGCGAACAGCTTCACGGATGGCAGCTGGGGCTCCCTCCCTTCTTGGGTAGAGCCCCTTCTTGATTCTCGAGAGGTTCTCCCTGCCTTTCCTGGAGGGTAAAGAAGGGGAGGAGCAGGGAGGGGCGGAGGAGGAAAGAGGAGAGAGGGGCAAAAAAAAAAAGACAGAGGGGAGGGAGGTCAGGGGGAGGGGGAGGAGGAGAGAAGGAGGAGAAGGGAGGAGGAGGAGGAGGAGGAGGACGAAAAGCAGGAAGGATGAGGAGGAAGGCGGAGGAGGAGGAGCATGAGGAAAAGGAGGAGGAACATGTACCAATTAGGGGAGGAGGAGAAGGAGGAGGAGGAGGAGGAGGACGAGGAAGATGAGGAGGACGAGGAGGAGGAGGAGCAGGAGGAGGAGCAGGAGGGAGAGCCAGGGATGGGGCGACAAGGGAAAGGGAGAAGGAGGTGGAGGAGGCGGCAGGGGAGAAGGCGGAGGATGAGAACCAGGGAGGGAAGAGAAGGAGCATGAGAAGGAGGAGGAGGAGGAGGAGGAGGCGAGTTCCAAAAGGAGGAGGAGGAGGAAAAGGAGGAGGAGGAGGAGGAGGACGAGGAGGAGGAGGAGCGAGGATGAGAACCAGGGAGGGAAGAGGAGGAGCATGAGGAGGAGGAGGAGGAGGAGGAGGAGGAGGAGGAGGAGGAGGAGGAAGGAGGCGAGGTCCGAAAGGCTCGAGGATGGAGGCCTAAGAAGGCCCGAAGAGAGCCCCCCAAAAGTGGCGGAAGAAGACATCAACACCACGCCTCGTGTCCACAGATCTCCCAAGTCTCTGTAGGGTATCGGATGCCCCTGGAGGCATCTGGAAGCCTGTGGAGGCCCTCGGGAGGCCATATACAAGTGTGTGTGTGTATATATGTATATATGTATATATACACATATATATCTATATATATATATATATATATGTGTGTGTGTGTACGCCGACCGTTCGGCGTGTGTGAGACGCTTTCCCGATTTCGTCGTCGTCGCCGTCGTCGCCGTCAGTTCCAAGGAAATCAAGGAACAAGGCACTTGAAAAACATCGTGATTAAGTCGAAAGGAAGCCCCTTCCCGTTGGTCCCTTCCCTGCCGGTGGGGAGAAGTCCGGGGGGCGTAGGTGAGTCCCGAGGGTGGTCCTGGGTCAGAAATTCCATCCCTTAGACGGCCCCGAATACCCCAAAATCCCCATGGCGGGTCAAGAGTGGCCCAAGACGCCGCCAAGACGGTCCAAGAGGGCCCCGAATCGCCGAACGATCGGTCCAACATGCGCAAGATAGCCTCCAAGACGCCCCAAGAGGCCTCTTCGCTGATTTTCCTTTGATGTGACATATTTGGGCGTTCTCGTCTGTTCGGTTTCCCGACGCTCCAAGACGGCCCAAGAGGACCCCAAGACGGCCCCAAGAAAGCCTCAAGAAGCCCTCAAGAGCCTCCCAGGAGGCCCCCAAGTGGCTCCCAAGAAGCTCCAAAACTGCCCCCAGAGGCCCCCAGAGCGCACCGAAGAGACCCCAAGAAGCATTCCTGAGGGCTCTGACCCACGTCAGCGTCGTCGTCGTCGTCGTCGCCGCCGCCGCCGCCGTCGTCGTCTTCGTCCCACGTCAGGGTCGGCACTGGCAATGAGGCCTTCGCAATATACATCATACATGCATGCATGCATGTGTGAATGTGTGTGAATGTGTGTGAAGTGTGTGAGTGTGTGCGTCTGTGTGTGTGTGAGAGTGCTGTGCCCTTCTGCTGGCGCCTGCCAGCCCTGGCACTTGTCTCAGTAGGCCTCGGACCCCCCACCCTCGGGCTTCCAGGTTGGTCTTGGGCTTCTTGTCGCTCCACATTTCGATGATCCTCAAAACGTGTGTTAGCCCCAACGTGTGTTTATCCATCGAGGCCCTTCGATACGACGCAGGCGATGTAATGACCCACTGGTTGGGCTGAAAGGGGTAAACACACATTGGGCTAACACATATCCTGAGGATCATCGAACTCTGCTTACCTCGCTCCCCCTGCCATCCAGTCCCAGAAGGCGAGTGGCACCTCCACTGCACTGTAGTCCTGTCTTTCCCACAGAACCCCCGTCATCCATCCTGGATGGCTTATGCCCAGCGGCTGCTACAGGACCCTAGGTGGTGTGAGCGTGCGTGGAAGTATGAGTGCGAGAGCGAGTGTGAGTGCGAATGTGAATGTGAATGTGAGTGTGAAAGGCAATTCGAATGCGAATGCGACTGCGAATGAGTGAGAATGCGAGTGTGGATGTGAGTGTGGGTATGAATGCGACCGCGAGTGCGAGTGCGAACGTGAGCGTGGATGTGCATGGGCATTGGAGCGCGAGTGCGAGTGTGCGTGCGAGTGTGAGTGCGAGTGCGAGTGCGAGTGCGAGTGCGAATGCGAATGCGAATGCGAATGCGAATGCGAATGCGAATGCGAATGCGAATCTGTGCGTGTGTGTGTGCCTGTGCCCGGCCACCTCCTCCTCCTCCTCCTCCTCCTCCTCCTCCTCCTCCTCCTCCTCCTCCCCGCTCCTCCTCCTCCTCTTCCTCCTCCTCCCTACTACCCCTCCCCCTCCTCCTCCTCCTCCTCCTCCCTCCTCCTCCTCCTCCTCCCTCCTCTCCTCCTCCTCCTCCCTCCCCTCCTCCTCCTCCTCCTCCTCCTCCTCCTCCTCCTCCTCCTCCTCCTATCCTCCTCCTCCCCCTCCTCCTCCTCCTCCCCTCCTCCTTCTCCTCCTCCTCCTCCTCCTCCTCCTCCTCCCCTCCTCCTCCCCGTCCTCGACGCCGGCGCCGCTCACCCGCCGAGGGCAGGGGCGGGGCGCGCGAGGGCGGCGGGCCCCCATGGCCTCGCCGGCCTCGGCGCGCCCCCGCTCAGCACGACGCCGACCGCGGCATCCGTTCTGTGATCCCCATCGGCCGAGAGTGTGGCCGACGAGCAGTACAGCAGTACATGCCTAAATATACATATGTACAGCTATATATATATATATATATATATATATACATATATATATATATATATATGTATACATATGTATATCTATATATAGATATAGATATATATACATTTATATGCATTCCTCTCTTAATTATCTCACACACCAGGGATGGGATGGCCAACATCCCCCCCCCCAAAAAAAAAAGAATCTGGCGGTCCCAAAGGCCCCAGAGGCTCTTCTCTGGCCCGTCCCTGAGGGCCCCAAAAAGCTCCAGGAGAAAACCGGAAACGGTCCACGACGGCCCCGAAACACCCAAATATCCTTCCCAGACGCCCAAGATGCCCCCAAGACAGCCCAAGGGGCCTCCAAGACGCCTCAAGAGGCGGCCAAGAAGCTTCCCAGGAGGGCCCCAAAAGGCCCAAATCATTGATTTTCCATCAGGAAACATATATTTTCAGCATATACGACCTTTCGCCCTTTACGGCGTCGAAGACGGTCCAAGATGCCCCCAAGACCGCCCCAAGACGGGCCAAGAGGCTCCAAAGAGGCTTCCCAAAACGGCCCCAGAGGGCGCCAAGACGGCCCAAGAGGCGCCCAAGACGGCCCAAGAGGGCCCCAAGACAGCCCCAAGAGGCCCCAAGAGGGCCCCAGGAGGGCCCAAGGGAGCCACCAAGAGAGCCCCAAGACGAGTCAAGGCCTCCAAGACGCCCCGAGACGGCCCAAAAGCGCCCCAAGACGGCCCAAAAGGGTCCCAAATAAGCCAAAGAACCCCAACATATTCCGAAAACTACTAAAGGAGCCCAGAGACGCCAAAGAAAAGAGCAATCGGTAGCCCCCAAATCAACCCGAAAAGGAGCACTAAGAAGGCCCATAGACGCCAAAGAAAAGAGCGATCGGTAACGTAAAAGCTCTTCACACCAAGGCTCCCAAGAGCGAACGGTGACATAACAAACTCTGACAACCAAGGCTCACTCGTCTCGCGCACCATGCAGTGGGACACCATCCCAGCCAAGGCAGAACGCTCAACCAGGAGGCAAACAGCGGACGACAAAAAATGACGGAGAGATTTTTGGAACAGTGCCTTTGCATCGCACGTTCCGAGGCACAAGGCAGATTCGTCTCTGGGGCTCCATGAGGCCATTCCGAAACCGAACAAAACGACGGCAGCGTCGACCCAAACCAACCCAAATGCCGCAAGGCCCCCCAAAACTGTTCCAGAAAACCGCGGGCCACTTCTAGATGACCGAAGACGGCGACGACGGCGACGACGACAACGTCGTCGTCGCCGTCGTCGAACGCGCACCCCTGTTTCCATCACCCCACGTGCTTTGCCATTTCTTGCAGCCCCATTGGCCTGCACATGTAGCTGCGCCTCGGCCCAATACGCCTGTTTGTCCTCCCCCCCTTTGCCCCTGACAATGCACTACACCAAGACTTTAGAGCGAAGCGCAGCGAGCTTCAAGTCTTGTATGTATGTATGTATATACATATACATATACACGCACACCCAAAAAAAAACTCGTCTCTCAGCAACTCAATACACCCTAGGGCAAGCCCCGCGCATCTCACACATCGCCTGGCACTGCGAGACATGTCGCGCCACCAGTCTACAACACCGCGAGAAGCTGCGACAGCGAGGAAGGAGGAGGACGAGGACGACGAAGGGGCGGAAGCGCGGGGACAGCGGAGCAGGCACGCGCCTCGACCCTCGGCCCTCCCCCTCCCGCAGGAGAAGAACAACGCCGGAAGCATAAACTGTTGGCGCTCCGCGCGGATGTCTTGGATCCGCGCTGGCACCCCTCCCTGGCGCGCGGAGCACGCCGGGGGCGGCGCCCGAGGCGCCGCCGGGGCAGCCCAGCGCGGATCCAAGAAATCCGCGCGGAGCGCCGAGAGCTTCTGTTTGTGGCGTGCTTCTGCTTCGACTCCCTCCCCTCGTCCTTGAAGCGCTGGACGGTCCCGAGGTCGACGGAGCCGAAGACGCCCACTACCCGGTCCATCATGGAGTGGTCCTCCGGCAACAGGTCGAACCAGGCCTATGGCCGAGACGGCCACGCCGTGGCTGCCGTCGCCGCATGCCGCCGCCATAGCGGAGAGGGGAGGAGAGAAGAGCGAGTGGAGAGACGAGGAAAGCTCCTCCTCTTCCTCTTCCTCCTCCTCCTCATCATCAGATTCCTCCTCCTCCTCCTCCTCCTCCTCCTCCTCCTCCTCCTCCTCCTCCCCCTCCCCCTCCTCCTCCCCCTCCTCCTCTTCCTCCCCCCACCTCGGGAAGGGTGGAAGGGGTCAGATCTCAGAACTGGCGGGAGCGCACCTAGCTTTTTCTCTTCCTCCTCCTCCTCCTCCTCCTCCTCCTCCTCCTCCTCCTCCTCCTCCTCCTCCTCCTCCTCCTCCTCCTCCTCCTCCTCCTCCTCCTCATCCTCCTCCGTAGCCATTTTGGCTCAAGCCGTTTCGGCACGAGCTCTTTCAGGGGCCCGTGCTTGTGTTCACGTACTTCGAAGCGGCTCGTGAACACGGGCCATTTCACAAGCGCACGGCGCCTCCCGCTGCAGTGTTCAGCAGTCGCGGATGGTGCCAAACCCGCCCGATGTCTTGCCTGGAGCCAAGACTCCATTGTGGAGTTGCAGCTGCGGGTGCCCGGACAATTGGGCGTCCAGAGTCATATGCAGAGGCTGCGGCAAGGATGCCCCAGTGCGAGTCGTCCAGGCAGCTCGTAAGGCATCAGCGGCACTCAAGTCAGGATCAGTTCGTGGGCCTCGTGGTGCCTGGGCTCAAGGGCCGCCGCCGATCGGACCCAGCAGCAAGGAGCAGATGCGCCTCATTCAAGAGCTCAGGGCTGAGGTTGCACAGTTGGCGGGCAAGCAGCCCCCAGCTCGGCCGCCATGGCAGTCCAGTTCCCCTTCGCCGCTGCGGGGCACAACGGGTGGATCGTCTGCCAAGCTCTCGTTCGCTGAGGTGCTGCAGTTCCTCAAGGATGAGGGGGTCGACACGGCGAAGGTCGAAGAAGCTGAACAGGCAAAGAAGCAGGCTACGGCAGTCAAGCAGCCCACGTCCAGGGCCGCGCACTGGAAGGTCGAGAACCTCCGCACCAAGCTCTCCAAGGCGGAGGTGCGTGCGGCGGCGTTGCGCAAGCAACAGGAGGATCTTCAGGCAGAGATCGCTGAGCTGGACAAGAGCGTCGACAAGCTCAAAGAGGACCTCGTTCAGGCTGAGCAGGCGCTCTTCCGTGTCCAAGCAGATGGCGATCCACTCAGAGCAGTCACGGCCACCCTTGATGAGGCCGTCGCCCAGTCCGATGAAGGTCAAGCTGCATTGGCCACCCTCCAGCGCCTGCAGGCCGAGGCCCAGGCCAAGAGGGCAGCGGCCAGTGGGCCTGATGCTGCAAGTGCTCCTCCTGGTCCTGCTACAGGCGGGGCGGGCAGCGGCGAGCACATCGCTGCCACGGCAGGAGATGGCGACGACATTGACATGGACTTGCTGGATGGCGAAGACTTCGATGAGCGCAGGGCAGCCTTCGACAAGGCCGCCCAGGAGCTCAAGGAGGCCAAAGGAGGAAGTCAGGAGCAGCTCGACGCCGCCAAGCGCAAATACCTCGAGGCTGCGGAGGCAATTGGGGTCAAGCGGGCTCGGTCGCGTTCCTGAGCTGGGCGCAGGAGTGGAGGGTCCTCCTCCAGACAGCGGTGTCAAGGAGCTGTCCAGCTTGAATGACTTCCTGAGGTGCAACCTCCTGGACCATGACTGGGAGCAGGCCACGTGCCAGTCATGCGCGACGACTTGCTGTTCGACTCGATGCAGTTTCGCCATCGTGACGGAACTTTGATGGAGTTGGACGAGAAGGATTGGCCCGCGTTCGGTTCCGCCTTGGCGAGGAGTACGTCGTCGTATCGCTTGGGCAAGGGGGGGAGGGATTCAGCCCCTCGATGTCACACTCCCTTGCCCGCATCGTCGATGGCTTCCAGTTCGAGCACGGCGACTTCGGCATCCTCGATGATCCCCCAACTGGCCCGCTCCTCGGGGTTGGGGGCAAGTGCAGTGCAGAGGCTTACTCCCCAACTGGCCCGCTCCTCGGGGTTGGGAACATGGGCAGCACAGAGGCTACCGCCCCAACTGGCCCGCTCCTCGGGGTCGGGGACAACTACCAGCTGCGAGGCCAGTACTTCGTCGTGGATGGCATGCGCGCCAACGCAGACGGCTACTGCGCCTACTCTGGGTTCCTCCTCGTCGCCTGGCGGCTTGCGAGTCGCTCACCCTCCTCCCCATGTTGAGCTGGATGCTCTATCGAAAATTGGTAAGTCAGGACCCGATGGAGGGCGGCGCGCGGCTGCCCCCGCGGTGGAGCAGAGCTTTGCGGCCAAGGAGGCGAGGCTTCAACCTCAGTCTGTGGCTGTCAGTAGGCTCGTCATCACAGGCATGAATGTCAATGCCTGGAACACGCTTGAATCTGTGATGGAGTGGATAGCGGACGAGTCCAAGGCTGGTGGGGCCCAGTTTCTCCCACAGGTTTGCTGCTTACAAGAGACACGCATCAAGAGTGACACCAAGCAGGTCTCCGCGATGAGCTGGGGGCGTAGGCATGGCTATCACTTTTCTTTTGGGATGGCCCACAGTACGGGGCCGTCGCAGCAGCAGAGCAGCTCAGGTGTGGCAGTCGGAGTTTGCACTTTGTTAGGCTCGACGCCAACGGCGACCACGATTTTTGATGACTGTTCTAGCAGAGTGGTGGCCAGGATCGTCAATGTGGGGTTCCCAAAGGGCCTTGTCGCCATCAGCGTGTACTTTGTGACGGGAAAGGAGCTCTCAGGACCCAACCTGGACCTCTTGCAGACGGTCGGGCCTACATAATGGCCCAAGAGAGGCCCTGGGTGCTCCAAGGGGACTTCAATTTCGAGCCTGAGGCGCTTCTGGGCTCTGGGTGGATACAGAAGGTTCGAGGGGTGCTGGTGGCTCCTGCAACCCCTACCTGCAGGACCGCCAACCCTCAGGAGGCCCAACAGGTACCCCAGAAGGACCCGCAGGGCACCTCGGACGACTGGGTCATCTCGGGTGGAGCAGCTGGGCCAGACCAAGCTGCAGACGACAGTAGGATCCTCGATTTCTTTGTGGTTGCGGAGGCGTTGGCCTCGCGCGTGGAGGAGATCTCGGTCATGGATCAGGCTCCGCTCTACCCGCGCGTGCCTGTCGTATTAAAGCTACAGGATCTGAGCCACATGTCGACGATCAACCAGCAAGTGCGCTTCAGAGCCTTCCCAATGGAGCTTATAGGTCCCATGCAGGCCCCAGTGGTGTACAATTGGTCTTGGGAAGTGGGCGCCTCAGCTGATCTCAACCTCATGGTGAAGGAGTGGCTTGAGTTCTCGGAGAGGCGCCTGATCCAGATTCCAGGGCTTTTGTGGGCAGGGCTGCTGGACCAAAATCAAAAGTTGTCTCCCTGGCTTCGGTTTGGGATAAGGACCAAAGGCGCAGGTTTTCTCGATCGACGACGGCTTGGATCTCACATGTGGCCCTGTGCAGGCGTACATGTCAGACTCGCGTAGGCAAAGCAGGCCGTCAGGGCCGAATGCTCCTAGATCAGTGGCACAGGGACCTGAAGGCCATGGTCGGCGACATGGGCCCGTTCGCTGCTGACGCCGAGCTCTCGCCCAGTTTTTTTGCGCACCTTCGCTGATGTCATCACCATGGGCGATGGGCCTGTCCACGATGCCCTGCATAAGATGGACGAGGAGGTGGGCAGAAGGAGACGGGAGGACTCAAAGGTATCACTGAAGGAGTGGAGGACCTGGGCGGTTGAGAGTGTCAAAGGAGGAGGGAAGGCAGCTCATGAGTTTGCTAAGCAGAAGGCATCCAACGTCACTTCCCTTCTCGACGGCGAGGGCGTCCCTCAAGTAGGTGCTGGAGCACTGTCGGCTCTTCTAGACCAATGGGCGCCGCTGTGGTGTGTAGCTGATAGGCAGGATGAGCACCCATCCCAGTGGTCTGTCCCCGTCGATGAAGCCCAATTGGAACCTATTGCCCTGGACCGGCTTCTGAGAGTTTGTCGTAAGTATGCTCCTGGCGCAGGCTTGGGGTGGGATGGTTTTCACCCAAGATGTGTCCTGAGCCTCACGGAAGAACACCAGCTAAGGCTTTTAGATATTCTGCACAGGTTTGAGGACAGACCACAGGATCTTCTCGTCTTCTTGACCAACATGGTCTTCTTAGACAAGCCCAACGGCGGCGTGCGCCCCATCGGCCTCCTCTGCCTGGTGCTGCGCTTGTGGTCGCGACCCCGCCAGCCACACTGTCAGGCATGGGAGAAGAAGCGCGCAGAGGCCTTCTATTGGGGCTCGGGGCCACACAATACTTGTGAGAGAGCTGGATGGGTCCACAATCTCTTGGGAGGCTGTTGCAAGGAAGTTGGGTTTCAGAGTGGATCTGTCTTGGTCCACTTGAGCCGCTTCTATGAACACATTCGGCACCTGGATCTCAGAGCTGCGGGGCTCCAGTATGGGTTCCCCATCAAGGTCCTCAGAGGGTACTGTACTATCTATGCTGGATATAAAGCTCTGATGTACGGAGGTGCCGTATCGTCGGCCTACTTGGCGAATGCAGCTGCGGTGGCAGGATGCTCAGGAGCGACGACGCTGGCTAAGTTACTGTTGCTCCGTCCGCTTCTCCTCACGCAGCAAGGTAGGCCGAATTTATTCATCCGCAACGTTGTAGACGACGTGGCTTTACAGGCATGTGGTCGGCCAGTTCAGGTAGCTCAGGTGCTATCGAGTGCAGTCGCCCAGCTCTTCTCGTGCTTTGAGGAGCTCCACTTGCCTGTCAACATCAAGAAAACGAAGTACTTGTGCACTCGAGAGGTTCAGACCCATGTTGTGGGTTCCTGGTGTTTGCCCGTTTCGTCTCGGGTCGAGCATGCGCGCAACCTCGGCACGGATGCGACGACGGGCTCACGACGACGTGTGGGGGTGCAGAGAGCGAGGTTCATCGATGCAGGTTCGCGCTCGAAGCGACTTCGTTTGCTGAGGGAGGCTGGGGCAGATGTGGCTCTTGTACA